TCATCATAAGAATGGATGAGAAAGCTATGAGACTGCCTAAACTGATTAAATGATACTGCTGTTGAAGCTGAGAAAATTAAGCTAAAATATAATTAACTTTCAGCAAAAGATGAATGTAGTCCAATCATCTTAACCAGGGATATTTGTTTTATGGGTATACATTTATATCTATTAAAACACGTTCATCATTAGTGTTAAAACACCTGGTTGTTAATAATTCTAAAATGTTGCTTAAGGGAGTTGTTTCCAAGACACACACACACACACACACACACACACTGTTCTAAGGGCAACTCTGTTTTTTCCTGAAATTGATTTTAGAATCATTATGAATTAGTGAGAAAGATAGGAAAATGCATTTTTCTTAAGTGATAGCCTCCTTTTTCAACATTTTTTTCTAGAAGAAATTATTTTGATAATACAATGCCATATAAATTTGAGTTTTCTCCCAAATTAATTTGTTAATTGATTTCAATTCAAATGAAAATAAAAAAGTTGTATCTGTATATATATGTACATAAAAACCTGAAAAACTGATGCTAAGATTCATGTGTTTTATGAATGTGTTTTATGTGTTAGATATACTTTATAATTTAAAAAATATATGGACTTTAATTTTAGCAGCTTTATTGTAAGAGAAAGCAATGGAAAAGCACTGGCAGTGTTATAAAGGTGTGACTCATTATTTTCCAATAAAATGTTTATCAGTCTTTTAGTCTGAGGCTCTACCTCTCTAGTTATTATGTAACCATGACATTTAATATCATTGTGTCTCTAGATCTGGCCAATATTTTGGCCTATCATGACTGACAGCCTTAACTAATTTTTATCTTACACAACTAATTTGATTTCATCATTAGAGTCACAAATAACAACAGAGAAACCATGATGATTTGATTTAATGTTAATGATAATGTTAACCATTTAGCTGGAGACTCGAGTTAAATCAGCCTTTCTCAAATGGTCCACTTAGCCTTGTAGAAATCAACTCTTAAAGAATGAATTTTATCATACAATGGGATTCATCTATCATTACAGATAATCTCATAATTATTACCTGAAATATAAAATATAAGATTGTTTTTGTAGGAAAAGATGAGGCCAAAGAAAAATTCGTTTTATAGCAGAAACCGTAGTTAGGTGCTATCTGGCAAGTGTGATACTTCGTTATCCTGTTAGGTTATCTCTCCTAGGCAGGACATCATTTTCAATTTCATTCAAACTGAGCAATTGTCAGTTACATCACATCAACTAGCCGTAGCAACTGGGAAGTTAGTGCATATCCTTACACTCTTAAATAATGATAATGAGTAATTTTTTGAATAGTCTAAAAATAGGGTTTATTGACAAAAATCATTCATAGGCCAAATCAAAAGGGAATGCAAAATCTTCAATATTTAGGCAACTAGATAAAATCTAGTTAGCGATTTGATTTTGATAAATGCCAGCTATGAACATGAGAAAAGCAAGTATAAAAAAGAATAATAAAAAGAAAAGAGGAGAATGAAGAAAGAAGGTATAAGAAAGTCAGATGAGAGGAAATTAATGAGATACAGTTAAATTAGATAAAGCCCTGCTTTAGGATAATGATGCAAATACAGGATTACCCTCTGTAGCATTGAGTTTCTGTGTTTATTAAAGTTGCCACCCCACTAAAAGTGTGACAATTCTCACAGATCTTTAATGAAGTAGAATGCACATGAGCTAACTGGTTTGTAATGTAGCATACCATAAAATAAAGATATTCATCTGGATTACTCTGAGAGAAAAGAGATCAAAAGAGAACAAAGTTATTACTAATAAATACTGTAAAAGAGCAACTCATAGAATATGATATAGAAAATAGTTTATAATTATGTAGCATGATAAGTCAGATATAATAAATTATTGTTTAATGAAACCAAATGAAGAAAGATTTGTTTTATAAAATGCGATCTGTCAGTATTGGCATTAGTGTATCACAAAAGAAAACTTATTCTAGGGAAGAATATGTTGCATTAGGGAAACAAAAGAAATAAGCCTAGACAAAGTTCAATGAGTGGAAGAATGTTTTACATAAGTTTATGTAGAAAGTATATTTTTTAATATTCTAAGGAGATAAAAATTTGGAGAGTACCGCGGTATTATCTACACAAGGAGAGGTGACGATGTACCATAATTGGCATAATCAAATGGCATCCTACAGTGAGAACTCAAATATTGATTACTTTTAGACATTCTATTATTCTATCCTCATATAAATCATGTCAGTTTACTACTATTACTAAGACTATTTTACATTTGAGGAAACAAGTGTAGTAAGACCATGACTTGAGTATATCTACAGAGATCCTAACAAAGCCAAACTTTAGGTCTCAAATACTTTATCTCTGTATGCTATTTATTTGCATGTGACCCATTCTCTTACTATGAATCTTCCATAAATATATTAATTTTGATGACTGAAGCACAAAACTTTCAGCTTATTTTTTTAACTAAGTATAATTTATATTTACACATGAATGTAAGGAACTAAGTGTGATATCTAAATTAATTTGGATGAAGGTTCCAGATTCTTATATATTCAATATATAATATCGAAGTAATGACTATACCATGTTTGCCACATAGCTGCAGATAACATTTTTAGCATTTTATGAGCTTAAAATATAATTTCAGTTGTGAAACAGAAAAGCTACAGCATCTTTTGCGCCATTAGGAAGCATGCCTACCAATGATAAATTTTCAGGAATATTTAGTCAATGTAATAAAGTGTGTTTCATCAGCTCTTACCAGACATTTTAAATATCCTGGTTTTGGACTTTTAGTAAATAGTGCTTATTTAGCTCTCCAGTGTAAGGTGGGGAAAGTATGTTACCACGAACAAAGGATGTGATTAAACGCTTTGTTCAGATATTCATTCTTTCATTCTTTCTTAGTCACCTAAACCAAGCTGCTGGAACCTCTAGGCACTTTGCATTTGTTCTCACTTTGCTACTCTTAAAGTAGGACCCAGCATTTCACTGTGCTTCTAAGACTAAAATCCAAATCTGCAAAGCAATCAAAAAAGTCTAGATTTTAGCTTTAAAAAAAATTTTGTGAGATGAATTTATACTTCATAGTACTGAGCAAACTTAGATGTCTCATTAGATCTGTCTTATAATGGAGATCTTTGCTGCAGCCTGCTCAGCTTCCTTACCCTATCACTAGTCCCCAGCCTAAACCCAAACAGCCTCTCAAACCCCTTTTTTTGATCTTGAACCATTTAGTTTTGCCCTTTCTTTTGCATCACTGAGCATTGCACCTATTCAGCAGTTAGATGAACTCATTACCTGGAAAACAGCTGAGTCATTATTTAATACATCAACTCATCATGTTGGGCTCTCAGTCCTCACACTACATGAATGATCATAGTATGCTCACCAATACCAGACCTGAGAGGGGAGAAGAGATTCTGCATCTGAAAATACTAAGATTTTCTCCATATCACTCATTATTCATTCATTGATTTACAAATTATTATCTTAGTACCTATTTTGTGCAAAGTACTCAGTCAATGATTTAGAGACACAAACATAATTTTTTTAAACAGTGCCTTCTCAAGGGTCTTATGCAAATAGATATAAGACATTAGGAATGAAATTAGGGCAAGCAAGATATTTTACTGGAGTTTACTGGAGTACTAATCAGTGCTAAGCCATTTGCAATTGGATATCACTGAGGAGGTGATATTTAAATTGACCTTTGAAGAAAAATAAATTATTGATAGGTGGCAAGGAGAGTACCTAGGTAATAAAAAAAAAATTATTACAAGAATAATATACAAAAAGTTGAGAAGTAGCTTTCCACTTCCATGGAACAGCAAGTAATCAGATGTGTACGGAATTTGCACACATGGAGAGACTTGAGTTATAGACTGAAACATGAGACTGAAAAACTAACATGGTACAAGATTATTTTATTTCAAGGTCCTTGAAATAAAAATTAAAATAAAAATTCTGGAACTCATCATATAAAGAATGAGAGCAATTGGTGTTTATTGGGCAGAGTAATTACTTGATATCCACTTTTTTCCATTTTTAAAAATTCTCATCTGGTGTTTCTTTGTTTACAGCACCCTTCCATCATACCCCATCCAATTCTCACACTTCTATTTGGTAAAAGGCATAATTTAGCTTGATTCACCTCTTATGTAAAGTGTTTCACCTCTTCTGTTAAGCTTTGCAGGACCACTTTTTCTCAGACAAGTTATATGCTTCTCCTATATTTCTTGCTTGGGTTCAGACTATTTTTTAATGATCTTTGTATAATAATCATCTCTTTTTAAATTTCTTTATCTACCTCTCTTCACTTGAATTCAGAAGAGAATTTATCATCGGTCTTTGTATCCTCAGTGTCTTTCTAGAATGTTGCCTTCTACGTGCTTAATAAATTTTAGTTGACTGACAGATCAGAACTATGCCCTGGTAAGAAAAATTTATCCTCAGTGAGAGGATAAAATGAGAAGATGATGAGGGGGAAAAAAAAAAAGACCAAAGAGAGAAAGCTGAGCATATGAGATAGATGCATGAGCACTAATTTGAAGCTGGCCCTAGGTAACTTGCAGAAAAGTTGTATGTTATCATATATGGGTTGATTTTGCTGAAAGAAGATATACTTTTTTTGATTGGCTGTATGTGATATATATATTGGAGCATTCAGTTTTTTTTGTTTGTTTGTTTGTTTGTTTTTTTAAGATATACAGAAACCATGATCATTCCTCCTTAAAACAGAAATTTCTTTTGTCTAAAAGCTTAAAAATTACCCTTAAACACGTTCAAGCTATATGCTAGTAGAGTCCATAACAGCGAGAAAAAAATCAAGAGATTAATGTACATCTCATTCTTTTCCATAAAAAGAAGCAATATCTGATATTGCACATTAAGCTTAAGATTAGTGATGTTCAAAAGTTCAAGTTCTATTTAAATCTTACTCAGTTGATTCAAAATTAATTATGTTATTTCTCTCTTGCTTTTCTGCAGTATGCTGTCTGGCTAGTCCTCTGGGTTACGTGGAATGTGTTTGTTATCTGCTTCTATTTGGAGGCTGGGGACCTCTCAAAGGTAATTTGCCATCTGATTTGCCTGAGTCATCAGTAGTGTGTTAACAAGCCTCTTCCTAAGTAAGGCAGAGTCTCACCCTACTCTTGTCACTTAGATGAACCTCGAATGAAGGGAAATTGAAAGGTGTCCTCTCTATATCTCTGCATTTCTACCATTAAAAAATAATATGTTCTAGTGTGTCAAAGTTTTCATGTTTTTAAGCAAAAATTAGTGTGAAATATTCATTATCACAGTGACCATGCTGTAGACTTTTAAAACATTGACTGATGAGAGATTTCTAAGCAGAATAGGAATTGTTTCAAGATAAAATCGTGAAGATTATTTAAATCATTGAATTTGTTATTACCCTGTTAAAGATTTTCCCTGATTGGGCTCAAATAGCAGTGCAATAATTCGAACAATTAATGGGTTTTAGTTGAGTAAAATTGTACAAGAGAAATATAATTTATTATAGAATTGAATAAGATAAACATTTTACTCTAAAATAGTCTAGGAAAGACAAAATCCGTGCTTTTTCATTAGGTTTTTCTATTTTGTGCTGTCCTCTTTTGAGTATGTACATGTTTGTGTTTGAGTGTGTGTGTTGCTATTTTATTTCTACCCTGAATGCCTTTAGTATTGAAATAATGTAGTTTTTAGATTTTTAAAACCAGCATTCTTCTTCTATTGGAATGCAATTAACAGCAAATAAGTCAAATGAGATGATCTATTTAAAAAAATAGATTGGGACACTTGAGAGGTTTGCAAACTTATACTTCTTTACAGTAACTTTAAGACAGATTGTAAAATGTTCTTTTACCTATCCCTTATTAGACGAGAAAGACCGTGCAAAGATGTCGACATTTTAAAAAATCCAGGGATGATAACTTGTGTTAAAAGGCAAAAAAAAAAAAAAAAAGGAGCTAAAATGTCACCAGAAATTATGTTTTCAAGGCTCTATATTTTAGGGGGTGGGGGATGGGAGTAGTAGTAATACTTGTTTATAATCTAGCATACAGGAGTTTCACATTTGCAAGGATGTTTATTTATTATATTAAGTATAAATAACCTTGATTTGTTTTGTTCTATGGTGAACAATGAAGGATAAAATAAGAAGGTGATATTATTGTATAAGACAGAACCAAGGCTTCCGGAACCCGTGATTTTATGATCAGATTTGGGAGAAGTCCTCGCTATGGCCTTCTGCAAAATCTGACCTGGTAAAGGCATTTTTGTGATTCTTGTAGCTCATTGTCCTCCACACTTTTGGCAGCAGGCAGTACCTTCTAAGATGCTGTGACCAATGAAAAGGAATTGTTCAGGTGTCTGTAGGAAGGACACAGACAAGACTGCTGCTTAAAATTGACATTCCTTCCATGCCAGAAAAGCAACACATACTTTCCAAAGACTTGAATTCCTTACCCAATTTATATATCCTCACTGCCTTATAATCCACTTAATTCAAAGAAATTCTACATGAGAATAACTTTTAATAATATTCTCAATTTTAAATAATCACTTTAAAAATTGGAGGGCATTTCTATTGTCTGAGTAAAATGATCTAGCAGCAGATTAGAGTTTCTTTAATATGAGAGAGAGAGACAGACAGACAGAGAGACAGAGACAAAGAGAGACAGAGACAGAGAGAGACAGAGAGACAGAGAGAGACAAAGAGAGACAGAGAGAGAGAGAGAGAGACAGAGACAGAGAGACAGAGACAGAGAGAGACACAGAGAGAGAGACAGAGAGATTGGGATCTGAGCCAAGCTGGCTGCACAAATGTTCTGTAATTGTGTTCACTGCTCCACATGTTAACTGCAGGCACAAAACAAAGCTTGTGATCTCATGACCTTGGACATGGGCATTGAAATCATAGCAAGGGCACATCCTAAAACATTACAGTTTAAGACAGTTGCAACCCAAATGACTAAGAATTCTTCTAATGCACACATCCAGGTAGTGACTATCCCTTAGTAATGAAGCAGTTAATATTCCTTTTCATCTTATAAACCAATGCTAGGCTGTGCAGAGCACATGAAAATTTAATATTTTTTAACAAATAATCTAAAGGAAAACCATAAAGGTCAAAGTTATATAGTTATCTGTACCAGCATTTTCCTCCCTTTTCTATGGGGTTTGAGAAAGGAGTATTTATACCATTTAATTCTTTAGCTTCTACAACTGCCTCACATTCTTCAGATAATACAATGACAGAAGGAAGCAATGGTGATTGAAAAATGTACAGATATATGAAAACTCAAAAATGGGACTCCTGAAACTGCCGATAATACTTAGATTACAGAATATAAACCAGTTTTTTTCTCAACCCACCAAAAAATAAAAATAAAATGGTTTGGTCATATGAATGGGTCAATTTGTTTGAGGCTGAGGGAGAAATATGGGAAATTGAATTAAGGAAGAAATTCTATGGTCTTATTTATGTAAAAGAAATCTATTTATTTCCATTAAATATTTTGTAAATTGAGATTCCATCATAATGACTATTTGCAAAAAATGATAAAAATATTAAGACAAACTGTTAAGAGTTTAGAATGTTGTGGTCATTTTCTACAGTGTCTTTTCTGCTTTTTCTGCTAAACTAACTGCCATGTACTAATGAGCAAAACAGAGATTAGAGTCATTAACCAAACCAGTGTGTACATTCAGTAATGAAATGGCTTAATTATAATAATATGATACACAGGACTGACCTGTTTGACCTTCATTTTTTTTGTACCCATAGTAGTATAGTTAATATATTTTCTTCATTGAAAAATCTGTATAAATCTAACATTATTATTAAAATATCAATGAATATATTTATTATCCCCATAAGATTTAAGAAGAAATAAAACTAATCCACCAGAGAAACTGCTTTAAAATTTTTTATCTCAGTTAAATTAAAATAATGGGAGTATAGTATAAAACAGTGATAACAATAGATAATAGCAACCAATAAAAATACATTTCATAATAATTATTTCCAAATTATTTACATTAATTGTTTAGATATCAGTTTTGTATCTATATATCCTAAAGCTTCATACAGTACATTACAACTTGGGTTGATATTTTAGTAGATATCCAGTTAAGGAAACAGAGATGACAATTAGTTTGTAACCCAAAGTGTTCACTAACTTTGTAGGCAATTGACTTTGAACATTTAGTGTCCTGGACTATTGGATTTATAGTTTTGAGAACTCCTCATATAAATAGTCATCATTTTGTTGTGTTTTTCTTGGCAGTTGTGATTCTCTTGTTCACATATCAAATAGAAAGAAATGGAAACTAATCCTAGCTATCAACTGAATTTCAGAGTTATTTTGAAGAGAGGAGATCTGCTGTTTGTTCTGTAGTAATTTTTAAATTCAAAGTGTATAGGAGTTAGAAAGAAAACACATATAATGTAATAATTCACCTATTAGGTTCATCACCTGGGAAAATGAAGTTTATGAAACAATTTTTTATTAGTAATATACAAGAAAAGATTCAATGGTCTTCTGGTTACCTGTAAAAGCCTATATTCTGTTGGATGTCATAAAATTGTATATTACTCACAATGAAATTATAACACTTTCTTTATATGACTGTTTGAGATCTCAGTTTATACTTTTGTAATTTATGGGACACCATTAGTGAATGATGCACCTATATTCAGAAATAAAACAAAAACCTTAGAGAGCATGAAAGAGTAACCAAGGGATTATTTTATACTTAAAGCAACCTAACTTTTTTTCTTTAACACTTTGAGACTAGAGATGTAGGTACATATCTGTCGGACTTTATTATATTATCAGAAACTTACCTAGTTAAACATAGCCTAAAGCAATTACTTATACCTAGTGATATGTATGTTTCAGGATGAACACATTTTTAATAACAACTGACATATTTGATAGTCGCTTCTGAGATCTAGATATAAATTTTTATTTTAAAAACGATATATAATAAATATAAGAATGTGGCATATTTAAGCTTTAGGGAATAGAATTGCACTTGCAAACATAAGAGACAGGAAAAAGATAAAACCTGTCATACACGGTAGGCAATAGGGTACAGATCCTTAAAACCAGATGTGAGTGCTGTGTGGAATAATGTACCATTGCAACAATCCCAGTTTTATTCCTTCTATTTACAAAATTATTGATTTAAAGAGATATTTGATATTTGGTATTTGGTATGGAGAGAAATCTATTATCATTTTTTAAAATTTGAATTAGTGTTGTTCTTTAAGAAGTAAAAATATCTATGCAATTACTAATGAACAAAGAATTTTTCCGATAATTGATTTAAGACTAAATTAAATATCAAGATGATAATTTTTTATTTGTATCTTTTTTTATTTTGCTTTTCTTAATGTAAAATGTATATAGTCTAGGAAAATTTCAATTGCTACTAAACTAATTAGAAAATTTTCATTTCCCAACCATCAAGGTTGATGTTGCTTTAGAGTATAGAATAAAATGCTCTATGTGTTATTAAGAATTAAATATGTAATTTTCCCCAAATAGAAATTAACCAACCTATTATAATTTCATCAGTCACTGCCTGTCTTCTCTTGTTTTCTTTAATAGTGCATTGAATTAAACTGGTTATTTTCTTCTTCATTTTTTTTTTCTTTGCTTACTTTTCATACTTCCTTTTAATGCCCTTAAAGTGGGGAATAGGGTCATCTACATTTTTTACTTGAAAATGCCATCTACTGTCATAATTTAAGCTACCATCTCTACACCTATGTTTACTATATTTATATCTTTAGTCTTGACCTTGTTGCTAAGTTGAAGTCCCACATCTCCAACTTTCTGCTGTCATGTCAATTCTATTGTCACCTCAAATTCAACATGTCTAAGAGAATTTGTCATCCCCAAAGAATCCAACTTCTGTAATTCACTTTTTACTCAGAAAATAAAAAAAGGCAAACTTTAGTTTGAAGAATTAATAAAAGAGGAAAAAGACTCATGGGGATACAGAAATCATTATAGATTGACCATAAGATGAAGCAATAAATAGATTTTTTAAAT